AAAGAGCGGCGAGAAAGTCCTGTAGATGTGTTTGGACTACAATACCCACCATCCTTTTTGCCCCGGCATTAGACGCTGCGATTTGCTGAATACAATATCTGACCTTATACAGCAGGGGGTCTTCAAACTTGGCCCTTTTATGACTTGTGGACTTCAACTCCCAGAATTCCTCAGCCAGCATGCCTTTTATGACTTGTGGACTTCAACTCCCAGAATTCCTCAGCCAGGCATGCTGGCTGAGGAATTCTGGGAGTTGAAGTCCACAAGTCATAAAAGGGCCAAGTTTGAAGACCCCTGGTTTAGTGAAACAAGTTACAATGGCCCTGAAAATTGTGGGAGTTGGAAGTCCATACGTCATAGAAGGGCCAGGTTTGAAGACCTCTGTTATACAGTATGTCAAGAGGACTCTGGTAGCATCTTTTCTGACTAACAAATTGCATTAAAATGCATAACTCACTCTTAATCTGTAAAAATGATGTTCCATGTCATCCGATTTTGGCTCCCAAAGATTCACCCGGCTCTCCTCCGAAAGGTATGGAGAATCTCTTGTTCTGAGTAGAGGATTCGTTTCCTGCCTTCCTTCCCCTGCTTTAAGCTTTTTTATCTCTAAAATGAAGCTGCATCCAAAAAACCAACTTGATTCCTCCTTTCTGCCAATAGAATTATATGTGCCCCAAGGATAAAATGAAATTAATCACAGGAGGCATCAGACGCCACAACGAAGCTCTACATCAGTGTTTCTCAACCTTGACAATTTTAAGGCATGTGGACTTCAACTCCCAGAATTCCACAGCCAGCATTGCTGGCTGTGGAATTCTGGGAGTTGAAGTCCACATGCCTTAAAATTGTCAAGGTTGAGAAACACTGCTCTACATCACAATGCCCGCCTTATTGAGAGAAATGCATGCAACCTCCTTTCCTAACTGCTATCAACAGTTGTGGTCATTTTCAGAGATTTCAAATGGAGAGGGATCCTGACAATCAAGGGGAGGAGGCCCCAAGGGACAGTATCTCCTTCTTGTTTGATTGGCAGCAATGTATTTAATTGTTTAGTGCTGAAGGAGGTTTCAAGCAGCTGTTACGTATTTTCATCTCTGTGCCTGTTGCCACCTCTATTTGATCGCCAATTGACTCTGCACTGAAGCTCCCTACTGTGTGTAGCTTGTAGTGTGACAAAGACAAGGTTTGGGAGAAGCACCCGACCCTCAGGATTTCTGTCAGCAGTTTGCTCAGAAACTTTACTGTTGCAAAATATGACTTTAAAGGAAAAATAAGAACAAGAGGGAAAACATGGAATGGCTCCTTTACAAATGTAGTAAGGACGGAGGGCCGGCCTGCTGCATGGCGTGAGGGGGAGAAGAGAGGAGAAAAGGAAAGGGAGACAGGGAGAGCAGTGGAGAAGGAAGCAAAGCAAGCAGAGGCCTGAGGAGAGAGGAGGGGAGGGTTTATCAGCCTGCCCTGCCCCCACCTGCTGGGTGGGGCTGCATGTGAGGAGGGAGAGGCCTGAGGAAGAGGAAGAGAGAAGGGGAGGAAAAAAGATGAAGCCGATCCAGAGAGAGAGCGAAGCTGAGTAAGGGAGCCAGGCCTCTGACCTGAGGGGAGTTGAAAGGGAGAAGAGCAGCTCCACAGAAGGACAGGGGAGGTGAACTGACCTGGAGGAGGGACCAGAACAGGCTGAAGGCCAGGAGGAAGCACAGAGCGAGAGACTCTGAGAAATTGGACTAGTGATTGAGGGTGGGAAGACACCAAATTGGCAAGTCGAAAGGGACAAAGGGATCTGGACTCTTGCAGCCCTTTTGAGGGAAACACTTTACAAACAAATCCAAAAAGACCCCTTAAAGAAGCAATTTTGAATAGAATAGAGCTGGAAGGGACTTTGGAGGTCTTCTAGTCCAGCCCCCCTGCTCAAGCAGGAGAACCTATACCATTTCAGACAAGTCACTGTCTATAGTCTCTTCTTAAAAACCTCCAGTGATGGAGCACCCACGATTTCTGAAGGCAAGCTGTTCCTCTTGATAGAAGTGAATGAAAGGTCTTCAAAATTTAATATTGAAAGAAAAATTTAAAATAGAATCTGCTGTACCATGGAAACGTACTGAAATAGACAAACAAGTTTACCAAAGAAACTACAATGGGGATTGAGGAGGGATGTGGCGGCCCTGACAGGGTTGTATAAAGAAGGAATAGTTTGGATTGGAACTTTGGAGAGAACCAAGCTTTGATAGCTTCTCTACTCGCTTATTGCAATAAATGAAATAAAAGGCCTCGGCTGGTTATTGGTCAGGTGAGCTTGCCTCTGGTCATGTAGTCAGGAGCACATAACATTGTCTGCATTGTTAGGAGGTTTCTCCTTAATTCTAGGTTGCTTCTCCCTTTGATTAGTTTCCAACCGTTGTTTCTTGTCCCGCCCTCTGGTGCTTTGGAGAATAATTTGACCCCGTCTTCTTTGTGGCAGCCCCCCAAATATTGTGTGGGGACCGTGGGGTGGAAGGAAAGCCTGGTGGGGCCCTGTAAGGGACGAAAAACCCTGGAGGGAACCAAGGGTTGGGAAGCAGAGCACAGGGTGTCTTGGGGGTGGGGGTGGCCTAGGGATGCCTGGCGGGGGGGGAGGCAAGTCTAGGCCTGCACTAGGCCTCCAACACCTTCCCTGAACAGGGGGGTTGCTAGTGTTCCACTTGGCAAGTTGCACATCTGTTTAATGGCTGCATCATGGAGGGTGGGGGTAATTAACCAAACCAGTCTCACTTCATGGCTGTTGCAACCTGCAACCGTTAAGTAGCAGGTCCCATTACGGTTGTAACTTGAGGACTACTGGTATGCTGGCTGGGAAAATGTGGCGATCAAAATCTGGAGCACAAGAAACAAGGCTGAAACTCCTTATGTTGGATTTCCATAACCAATATACAAAAAACACCACACAAAACCCTGTTTGAGGAATTCCACAAGTTCTATAAAAGGAAACATCAAGAAACGTCTGCTGATAATCAGAAACAGGTCATTAGCCTTTATCAAGCTAAAAATTTCCATTTTTTTTTTCTCCACACCTATAGGTCTAATCCTAAGATGTGTTGACTAAAAAGAATCGGGTCAGAATTCAAGTAGCCAATATCTCACCTACACTCCCAATGGGAAATCAGAAATGAAATTCAAGCCTTCTCTAAACTCATCAATGTTTGCCTCATGTGCACTTCCTTCTCTGCTGCCACAAAATAGGTTATAAAATTGGGCACATTGTGTGATGACCCATTAATTTTCATTTTTTTCCCCCACTTTACAGGTCTAATCCTAAGATGTGTTGACTAAAAAGAATTTGGACGCATACTCCTTCAATGTTCCTTCTATTAAGCTATTAAGAAAAACCATATCCTCCCCATAATTGATAGGTATTCTGGTCGTTCAGAAAGTATTTATCTCCAGTGGCTGCTTAAGGACGAACAGTCAGTGATCACAGCGCAGGCGGCCAGATTCTGCGCAGCAGCACTGGGGATTTGCCAGAAACATATTTTAGACCTTCTTAATAATCTTTTACAATCAATTTTATTATGTGTTTTTATCCAGCATTAGACTATAGTCAATGTATTTTTATTGTCAGGTCAGTATGATTCAGTTTTTCTGAAGCTATCTAGTTTTCTTTATACTGTCTGTAAGATTAGGCAGACCTTGGTCACCCATTGATTACATCATTAATGGTAATATATTGCTATGTTTTCTTGTGTTGGTTCTGTTTGTTTTATTTGAAGGTATAATTTATGTGTTGGCCTTCAGCTGTAATAATAAATTGATTTGAAATTGACTAAAAAGGATCAGGCCAGAATTCACCTACACTCCCAATGGGAAATCAGAAATTAAATTCAAGATTTCTCTAAACTCATCAATGTTTGCTTCATACACACTTCTTTCTGTGCAATAAGAGATGATTTACGCCTGAAGAATCGTTCACAGATTGGACATTTCAAATGTTTCTCCCGTATATGTAAAAGTACATGATTTATTAGGCAAGACTGAATATTGAAATTTTTTCCAAAATCTGGATACCTTTACAGTTTCTCTCTGGTGTCCTCTGGTGTTTCACAAGCAAAGAAGCGTAACTGAAACGTTTCCTACACTCTGGACACTCATACGTTTTCTCTCCTGTATGAGTCCTCTGGTGTATCACCAGGTTGGATTTCTTACTGAAACATTTTCCACAATCAGGACATTCAGAGTTTTTCTCCTGAATTCTCTGGTGCTTCACCAGGCTGGAATTGAGACTGAAATATTTCCCACAATGAGGACATTCAAGGGTTTCTCTCCTGTGAGTCCTCTGGTGTTTCACCAGGTGTGAATTTGTAATGAAACTTTTCACTCAATCAGAACCTTCCTAAGATTTCTCTCCTGTGTGACTCCTCTAATGTATCACCAGGTGGGAATTTGCAATGAAACCTTCCCCATAAAGTGGACACTCATACGGATTCTCTCCTGTGTGAATCCTCTGGTGGTTTACCAGGTCAGAGTTGTTCCTGAAACTTTTCCCACATTCAGCACATTCAAAGAGCTTCTCTCCTGTGTGAGTTCTCTGGTGTTTCGCGAGGTTGGAATTTGCAATGAAAGTTTTCCCACAAAGTGGACACTTATACGGTCTCTCTCCTGTGTGAGTCCTTTGGTGTATCACCAGGTGGGAATTCTGAGTGAACCTTTTCCCACATTCAGGACATTCAAAGGGTTTCTCGCCTGTGTGAGTTCTCTGGTGTGCCACCAGGTTGGAACTGACAATAAAACTTTTCTCACAAAGTGGACACTTATACGGTCTCTCTCCTGTGTGAGACCTTTGGTGTATCACAAGGTTAGAACGGGAAGTGAAACTTTTCCCACAATCAGAACATTCAAAGGGTTTCTCGCCTGTATGAGTTCTCTGGTGACTCACCAGCTTGGAATTCTGACTGAAACCTTTCCCACAATCAAGACATTTAAAGGGTTTTTCTCCTGTGTGAGTCCTCTGGTGTGCCAGCAGGTTGTAATTCGCAATGAAACATTTCCCACAAAGTGGACACTTATACGGTTTCTCTCCTGTGTGAGACCTTTGATGTATCACCAGGTTGAAATATATACTGAAATGCTTCCCACAATAAGGACATTCAAAGGGTTTTTCTCCTGTGTGAGTTCTTTGGTGTATCACAAGGTTAGAACGGTAACTGAAACTTTTCCCACAATCAGAACATTCAAAGGGTTTCTCTCCTGTGTGAGTCCTCTGGTGGTTTACTAGGTCGGAATTTCTAATAAAACTTTTCCCACAAACTGGACACTCATATGGTTTCTCTCCTGTGTGAGTCCTCTGGTGTATCACGAGGTGGGAATTTGCAATGAAACGTTTCCCACAAAGTTGACACTCATACGGTTTCTCTCCTGTGTGAATCCTCTGGTGGTTTACCAGGTTAGAACTTTTCTTGAAACCTTTCCCACAATCAGGACATTCAAACGGTTTCTCTCCTGTGTGAGTCCTCTGATGTATCACCAGGTGGGAATTCTGAGTGAACCCTTTCCCACATTCGGGACATTCAAAGGGTTTCTCTCCTGTGTGAGTCCTCTGGTGTCTCACCAGGTGGGAATTTGCAATGAAACTTTTCCCACATTCAGGACATTCAAAGGGTTTTTCTCCTGTGTGAGTCCTCTGGTGTATCACAAGGTTAGAACGGGAACTGATACTTTTCCCACAATCAGAACATTCAAAGGGTTTCTCTCCGGTGTGAGTCATCTGATGTTTCACCAGATAGTAATTTACAGCAAAACTTTTCCCACAAACTGGACACTCATATGGTTTCTCTCCTGTGTGAGTCCTCTGGTGTTTAACCAGACTGGAATTGAAACTGAAATGTTTTCCACACTCAGGACATTCAAAGGGTTTCTCTCCTGTGTGAGTCCTCTGCTGTATCACAAGGTTAGAATGGGATCTGAAACATTTACCACAATCAAGACATTCAAAGGGTTTCTCTCGTGTGTGAGTCCCCTGGTGTATCACTAGGTGGGAATTTCCAATTAAACTTTTCCCATACTCAGGACATTCAAAGGGTTTCTCTCCTGTGTGAGTCCCCTGGTGTGTCACCAGATTGAAATTGTGGCTGTAATATTTCCCACAATCAGGACATTCAAATGGTTTTTCTCCGGTGTGAGTCATCTGGTATTTCACCAGGTAGTAATTTACAGCAAAACGTTTCTCACAAACTGGACACTCAAATGGTTTCTCTCCTGTGTGAGTCAAAAACATGTGTGATCCCTTGTTTAGTGGTGCTTTGATTTCACCTGTTTTCTTCCTCCCATTGGGAGTTATGCATTACTGTCTGCCCTATTTGAGTATCCAATTGACCTTTTCTTCCCCACTGACTTCCAGATATTTCCCTCTTTTTCTGAATTGAAAAATGATCCCCTTCACCTTGTCATGTAACATATCCTTCTGTTCCGCATACTCTACTATTTCCAGCTTGAAATCTCTTCTTGATTTTCTCTTGACTTTCGCCTGCTGGGAGAATTGTGTAATTTTCTGAAGGAAATGGAAAATATTTTGATTTCTGGCTTGATTTGCTTTCCTTTTCAAAAGTTATTCTCACTTCTCCAGAGTGCTCTTATTGCCATCCTCTTTGTCTATAAGATTCAAAAAAAAGTGTAACTTTGTTTATACAATGCTTGCAGATGTGAAAAAAAGGAAAAAGTATACATTACATTTAAAAAGCAAAATGCCACAATGCTAACCTCTTACATTAATTATGATTCATCGGACATTCCAGAGATCCAACTTTAAATATCCCTTCAATCATGAAATTCCCTTTACTTGCACCTACCATAAACTGTAAGCGCTACTATGTGTTATCATAAAATATATCTGGAGGTCTGGGGTATAGATTATACAATTGCAGATATATGGAAAGAGTAATATAAATACACATACCTAATTTTAAGAGGTGTGGGAGCTTTAAATGATGAAATGATGCCTAAAGCCTCTGCAAGATTTGCACATGGGAGTCCTCGGCAACAAATAAGGGCAAAAACTACTCTCCACAATCCCTCTGCTGACATCCCAATTGAAGTAGTCCTCACTTAATGATTGCAATTGGAACTGGCATCTGTGTCATTAAGTGGCCCGATCATTAAGCGTGATGTTAACATGATAGTGTCAACTTACATCTGTTCCTCTGGACTTGTTAAGAAAATCACCATGGGTTGTTAAAGGCAATTTCACATGACTGTGGCTTGCAATTTCCTGCTGGTATACCCACTGATTTTGCTTGTAAGAAGCTAGCTGGGAAGGTCACAGATGGGGATCATGAATGTGGGATACTGCAGCCACCATAAACTTGCAACAATTGGCAGCATCCGAATTGATGCAACTCCCTTTTACTGCATTTTCATAATCATAGGCCCAGTGAAGAAGTGGCAAATGAGGACTACTTATACAACTGAACATCCTGAAAGGTCTTCAATAGCTATTCTTTCAGAAGTGCTGGCTTAAGCACAACTGAACCTCGTTAATACAAGTATGGCGCGCCAATAGGAAATACCATGCTTGTTAGCTATAAATAGAAGTAAAAAAAATAAAAATCCCAGAAAAAAATGGCAGTTTCAGTCTGATACTGTTTCCAAGAAAACAGCAGGTCCACAAGAGAATGAGAGTTCAAAGAGACTTCGGAGGTCTTCTAGTCCAAACTCCTGCTTAGGTAGGAAACCTGTATCATTCTGGACAAATTGCTGTCCAATCTCTTCTTAAAAACCTCCAGTGATGAAACACCCACAATGTCTGGAGGGAAGCTGTTTCATTGATTGTTCTCACTGACAGGAACTTTCTCCTAATTCTAGTCTCCATCTGTTACCTCTTATTCTTCTCTATGACACTTTGGCGCACAGGTCAATCCCCTCTTCTATGTGACAACCCCTCCAATTTTGAAAGAGTGCTATCATCTAAACACAAACTGTCCAGGTGGCATTTTAGTCCAACAACTGAAGCCTCTGCAGCCCAACCAATAAACTGGCGCTTCTGCAGACCAGTCTCTGTTGCCCAAAATGCCCTGCAGGCCGTTATTAGAGCTCCCAGGCCTGTCCCTTGACCGGAAATTCTGTTATCTTTCTGAATATTATCACAGAACCCCCTTGATCTCTTTGGAAAGCTGTTTGTAAAAAACAGTGGAAA